GAGTAAGCCAAGCTCATGAGAATGGTTGGTCACACTGTCTTTGCTGTTAAGGTTTCTTGGTTTACAGATGGTAAAGTTGCAGACAAGTTAGCAAACCAACTGAATTTTAACAAAGGAAGCTTTAGCAAAATGGATGAAGATGCAGTTGGAAAATTAAAGTCATGCTTCCTTGATACATACCTCAGTTCTGGCAACTTCTCGCCTGGAATTTTCCAAAGTCAGTTTTTGGTAATCTTGCCATTTGTACTATCTTTATTTATATAGTTCTGGTTATGCTTGGTGTGTGCCAGCTGTTTTGGGAGTGTTTTTCCTTATTTCTCTTGGCTCCTGTTAAGTGTTAAATTGCTGAAACTGACCTTTAATGCTTCCAAAGCAATCAGCATGTTTCTCTCTGGATGGTTTTTAGAAGTGGATGCAATTTACTGATTTCACCAGTGAAGAGAAAGCCTTCCATAGTATGCTTTACTCAGAGCAGGTGACAAAAGGCTGAATTTCTGGCTGGGCACAGTGGCTCACGCCTGTAATCCCAGCACTTTGGGAAGCCAAGGTGGGCAATCATTTGAGGTCAGGAGTTTGAGAGCCTGTCCAACATGGCAAAACCCTACCTCTACTAAAAATACAAAAATTAGCCAGGTGTGGTGGCAGGCGCGTGTAGCTACTCAGGAGACTGAGACAAGAATCGCTTGAACCCGGGAGGCAAAGGTTGCGGTAAGCTGCGAGCACGCCACTGCACTCCAGCCTGGGCAACAGAGCAAGACTATGCCTCAAAAAAAAAAAAAAAAAAAAGAATGAATTTCTGCCCTCTGAGAGAACTTAGAGAATAGAAATAATACACCAATTCATAAATTAGTAAAGACCTTACATCATCTATCTATCTCACCAAGGTTTTTAGAGGTAGAACTCAGTGTTCATTATGTTGTTGGAGTTGGAGGTGAGAGACTAGCCTTGAAGTGACTTTTCCAGCCTGGATACGTAGAAGAGAGTGGCCTACATCCTCCCCACTTCTAGTGTTGGCCAAGGGGTCTGTCTCACTGGTCTCTAGAGAGCAGCATTATAAGCTGGTTATGGGTGCCTGACCTGAACAGAAGGCTGTTCTTATCTTTAGATGATATCCGTAAGACCATATTGAAATTCTGATGCTCAAAAAACATTTTATGTGACAGACCATTGTACATTTCACATGATTTGGTCCTGGTGACAGAGGGGTTGAGGAAGTTTCCCAAATGCTCTTCAGTTCTCAGGCCTCTTCCTGATTGTCCTGGATGGCTGACTACAGATGGGTTTGGTGGAGTCTGGTGCATAAGTCACTGATAGCACATAGCAAGCAGGAGGCTATTTCAGCTGATCTCAGCAAGGCTTGTCATAACCAGCTCCTCTCTCAGTCATACCTTCAAGGTGGCACAGGGATTCAAGAATTGGCCTTGACTGGAGTACAGTGGTTCATGCCTGGAATCCCAGCACTTTGGGAAGCCGAGGGAGGCGGATCACTTGAGTTCGGGAGTTTGAGACCAGCCTGGGCAACATGGCAAAACTCCATCTCTACAGAATCTACACAAATTAGCCATGTGTAGTGGTGGGCGCCTGCAGTCCCAGCTACTCAGGAGGCTGAGGTGGGAGGAGCGCCAGAACCTGGGAGGTGAAGGCTGCAGTGAGCTGAGATCATGCCACTACATTCCAGCCTGGGTGACACAGCGAGACCTTGTCTCCAAAAAAAAAAAAAAAAAAGAAGAAGAAGAAGGCTGGGCATGGTGGTGCATGCCTGTAGTCCCAGCTACTAGGGAGGCTGAGGTGGGAGGATTGCTTGAACCCTGGAAGCAGAGGTTGCTGTGAGCTGAGATCACTCTACTGCACTCCAGCCTGGGCAACAGAGCGAGATTCCGTCTCAACAAAAAGAATTGCCCTTGAAGGAAAAGCCTTTTTCCAGGCAGGATGCTTCTGCCTGGACATCCCGACTGTGGGATTAATGCCCAAATGCCCAACTGTGAGAGCCGGCCTTACACTGAGGGCTGAGGCAGAAGCATGACCCGCTCAGCAGAGAGAGGCCGAACAGAGGTGACAAAGGCAGACACCAACATGGTTCTAGGCCGGGGAGCCTTGGTCTGCCAAACGTGGAAGCAGGGGCCCAAAGCTAAATGTAGAGGGGAGCAAGCAGAACGCCTAAGACCCTCTGCTCAGTCCATGGCCTTGGGCTGGCTTCCATAATTTAGCCATCAGACCAGATTTTACTTCCCTGTGTCAAGAGGGACTCAGACCTAGCTCTAACTTGTTTCTCTGGTTTCAGCTCTTACCTTGTAAATACTAAGCCTGAAAGTGGAGGTAGCTATTACATTGTTGCCTGTTTGGAGGTTGCCCAAGGAATTCCTCTTAGGACTGAATTGCTTCTACTGTTAATGCCAGAGGCATGGAAGCCACTGCTGGCCTTAGGGTTGGGCATCCCAAGTCAAAGGCAGAACAGCTTGCTGGGTCTTACTGAAAGCAGTCCCCAAAGGGTTGAACTCCTCTGGGATTTTCCTTCACTTGCAAGCTGCCTGTTTGTCTAATAGATGCACAACTTGATTAAATGCCAGTGTGTCACAGACGCAATTATACTTAAGAATGAGCTAGTTCTTCTAATCTCTCTGCCATCACTGATTAATTAGATACTTTGAACTATGCCCAACTGTTTGAAAGCTGTGAAAAATACAACCTGTATAGTTAAAATTTCTGCACAAGCCTTTTTCCTCACTTGTTCTCATATTCACCATTCTTTAAACATGATATGTATTTGTACGTGTTTCTAAACACATTCTGGCTATTTTCCTATCATAATTAGATATCCTTCCACTACTAGCCAAGAAATATACTCACACAGTAAGTCCAACAACAAAAGTATGTGAGAGGCCAGGCGCGGTGGCTCACATCTGTAATCCCAGCACTTTGGGAAGCTGAGGCAGGCAGATCACTTGAGGTCAGGAGTTCGAGACCAGCCTGGCCAACATGGTGAAACCCTGCCTCTACCAAAAAATACAAAAAATTAACCAGGCATGGTGGCACGTGCCTGTAGTCCTAGCCACTCAGGAGACTGAGGCACCAGAATCACTTGAACCCAGGAGGTGGAGGTTGCAATGAGCCAAGATTACACCACTGCACTCCAGCCTGGATGACAGAGCGAGATCCTGTCTCAAATAAATAAATAAATAAATAAAAGTATATGAGAGACCAGTTGAATAAGTTAGACATACCTTCAGATTGTTGCTGCCATTGGTCACACTTTCAAAAAAGTTTTTTTTCTCTTTTTAAATCTTACATGAATGCCTCAGAAAGGTTTGTTGTCATTATTATTAATTGTATCGCTTCATTGAGATTTTAAAACATTTTTCTGCCTACCAGGAGCCAGGGAGGGGAACACTGGCTATTACATTCAACTGTTTGATTTTATGACATAATTAACTATGTATCAGTTTTGCAAGTAATTTCCAGTCTTTCTTTCCTGTGATAATATGGTCTTTTAAAGTAATTGAGCACTGGCCGGGCACAGTAACTCATGCCTGTAATCCCAGCACTTTGGGAGGCCGAGGCGGGCAGATCACCTGAAGTCAGGAGTTCGAGACCAACCTGGCCAACATAGCGAAACTCTGTCTCTACTAAAAATACAAAAATTTAGGTGGGCCGGGCGCAGTGGCTCACGCCTGTAATCCTAGCACTTTGGGAGGCTGAGGCAGGCAGATCACGAGGTCAGGAGATGGAGACCATCCTGGCTAACACAGTAAAACCCCATCTCTACTAAAAATACAAAAAATTAGCCAGGCGTGGTGGTAGGTGCCTGTAGTCCCAGCTACTCGGGAAGCTGAGGCAGGAGAATGGCATGAACCCGGGAGGTGGAGCTTGCAGTGAGCCAAGATCGTGCCACTGCACTCCAGCCTGGGTGACACAGTGAGACTCCGTCTCAAAAAGAATAGTTAGGCATGGTTGTGTGCACCTGTAGTCCCAGCTACTCAAGAGAATCACCTGAACCTAGGAGGCAGAGGTTGCAGTGAGCTGAGATTGCACCACTGCACTCCAGCCTGGGCGACAGAGCGAGACTCTGTCTCAAAAAAAAGTAACTGAGCACAGGCTTGACACGGTGGCTCACACCTATAATCCTAGCACCTTGGGAGGCCAAGGCAAGAGGATTGCATAAGCCCAGGAGTTCAAGACCAGCTGGGCAACATGGTAAAACCTCATCTCTACAAAAAATAATCAAATTAGCCAGGCATGGTGGTGCACACTGTAGTCTTAGCTACTTGGGAGGCTGAGGTGGGAGGGTCACTTGCACCCCTGCACTCCAGCCTGGGTGACAGAGTGAGACCCTGTCTCAAAACAAAACAGAAAAAATACATAAAGTAATTGAGCACAAAAAGCCCTATTTCATATTCAGGAAGTCTCTGAAAGTGACCCCTGCTGACTCACATCGGGTATACACTACATTTGTAGGACTGGAATGTCTGGACATGCTGAAGAAGATCAGTTAGAATATATCTGTATTTCTGTATCCCTAGGCTGAAACTTTCATCAATGGTATATTCACATTCATGCCAGACTATGAACTCTGAAGTCTCCTTAGCTAAATCCCCATGATCCTCAGTCTCTAGAAGCAGCTATGGTTTGGACCATCTTTTTTCCTTTGATTTGATGTTCTTAAAGGGAGACAAGGAACAGTTCTTCCCACTTTTGTGGAAATACTAGCATTTGACCTTACCGTTTAAAAAATACATATAATATACAGTAAACATATTCCTTCCTACTCTATAATCTCGTTCTTAAATTCCAAACCAGATTTTGTCCTCTACCAGAAAAGCCAGACTGCATCAAGATCTCTCCCACTAGATCTCACCTTCTTTGTTGAGGATTAAGCAACTGTCCAGCCCTTTCTAAGCCAGATTGCTCTTGGTGAATGTATAGTAAGTGGAACACAGTCGAAAGGTTATAGGTAATTGTGCAACTCTGATTCTTATCAACTTCATCTTCCTTCATCCTCCTAGGTAACAGCTTGCCTGATTGCTGTGGCCAAAACAGACAGTGAAGTTCAAGTACGCAGAGCTGCCGTACATGTGGTTGTGCTGCTGCTTCGGGGACTCAGCCAGAAAGCTACTGAGGTCAGTCAGTTTCTCGCCCTTAGCAATTTCTCCACCTCTTTTATTTGTCTATTTCTCAATTTTCCTTTTACCAGGGAAGGCCTCAAACCTCTTCCGTCGATGGATTCATCCAAATGAGTCCGTCGACAGGGATTTTGTAGCAGGAAAATGACCTTGTTTGTATCTTCAGTGTATGTCTGTATTACCTCAGTAACATTGACCAAACTATATACTAACTGCTGGAGAAAAACCAGAGCACACGGTTATAGATTGAGGCCCTGAATCCTGGCATTGTCCTCATTGTTCCAAGGTGAGCTAGCTAGAACACATTCACCCTGCCTCTGCAGCCTGAACTTCAGTGACTTGCCTTCCTGACTCATTTAATTGTTCATTCTGAATTACTAAAGGGCCTCATTGAAGATGTTTCCTTTCTAGCTGAGTTCAATCCATGACATGTTAGTTGCTGCATAAATTAAATTTTCTTCCTCCTTTGAGAGGGTTTGGCTGGATTTCTCCCCAGTGTATGGCCAATACAGGAAGAAAGTATATATTTACATATATACTTTTACATGTAAGTATAATATGGAAACACATTCCCAGTTGACTTCCTATGGAAAATTTGCATTAATAATTCACCACCCACTATCCACAGTGCTCATCTGTGGCTAACACCTTGGTATTTAACCAAGTGTCAGTGAAGCCATTATAAAAGTGATTCTTTTAGGCCAGGCTTTGTGACTCATGCCTATAATCCCAGCACTTTGGGAGGCCGAGGCAGGCGGATCTCCTGAAGTCAGGAGTTCGAAACCAGCCTGACCAACATGGAGAAACCCCATCTCTACTAAAAATACAAAATTAGCCGGGTGTAGTGGTGCATGCCTGTAATCCCAGCTACTCAGGAGGCTGAAACAGGAGAATTGCTTGAACCTGGGAGGCGGAGGTTGCAGTGAGCCGAGATTGTGCCATTGCACTCCAGCCTGGGCAACAAGAGTGAAACTCTGTCTTAAAAAAAAAAAAAAAAAAAAAAAGTGATTGTTTTGTCACACACATGGGCTTTATTCATCCTAGAATGTTACCATATGGAGTTTCTGATGCCATTTTTGTACAGGCATGGACTCGGTAAGTTATCCCCTTCCTTTCCTACATAGCCACCTTTTCTCTTTACATAGCGACTTGCTGTTGTTGCAGCTCACTAGCGAGGCCGTTGGATTTCCCAGTGCTTTGGGAATAGTGCTTTACCCTCAGCTGCATTTCTCCCCCTTCTCCTCCACCTTGTGTAGGTGAAGGTTTGGATTGAATGAACTTATCTGCTGAGCCTGTTCAACTACAAATTAGAAAAACTTCAACTATGATGTCCTAAACAAGTAAGGATTTTTCTCACATCACAAGAAATATGTAAGCAGGTGGTGTCTGTTTAGCAGCTCAGTGTCAACAGGATCAACATTTCTATAATCCTTGTGGCCTTTGCCTCATGGCTACAAGATAGCTGCTGCAGCTCTGGCCATTGTGAATGATTTAAATGAGTAAGAAAGAAGATAAGGGAAGGACAGCCATAAGTGCTTTTGTTTCTTATTTTGGGGAACTAGGACAGTTTCCCAGAACCCCCCAGGAGAATTTCTATTTCGTTGGCCAAAACTGTATCACACAATTGTTTCTAGCTGCAGAGGAGCCTGACAATGTATTTAGTTGGCACATTGCTACTCTGAATGAAACTGAATTTTAGTCAGCAAGGAAGATGGCAGGAAATGGGTATTGGGGTGGCAACTAATAGTGACACAAAGGAATATGGGTTGGCTGACTCATAAAAACTTATGTAGCTGGGCACAGTGGCTCACACCTGTAATCTTAGCACTTTGGGAGGCTGAGGCGAATGGATCACCTGAGGTCAGGAGTTCGAGATCAGCCTGGCCAACATGGTGAAACCCCGTCTGGACTCAAAATACAAAAATTAGCCAGGCATGGTGGCAGGCGCCTGTAATCCCAGCTACTCAGGAGGCTGAAGCAGGAGAATCACTTGAACCTGGGAGGCAGAGGTTGCAGTGAGCCCAGATCGCACCACTGCACTCCAGCCTGGGTGACAGAGTGAGTCTCCTTCTCAAAAAAACAAACAAAAACAAACAAAAAACTTCTATAGGGAAAGACTTGCTCATTAACTTGGAGCACTCACCTGGAAGGATGGTGGATCCAGGGTTTTACCTAGGACCTCGATGGGGATGGGGGACATATAGATTATAGCTCAGTAATTCATATAATTAAATAAATTGCTATAGGGACAATAACATACACTGCTCTTATTGAGAATCCACTGTATGAGAGGGAGTTAAGAAGAATCAGTGTTTTTCATCCACTGTTAAGATCTACAAAATTCTTGGCAAAGATGTTGTTAAGTAAGTTGTTAACAGTAGGGGAATGGATGAGGGGTATACAGGGACTTTGTACTATCTTTGCAACTTTTTTGTAAATCTAAAATTATTTCAAAGCAAAAATGTATTTGAAAATACAAGTTGGTTGGGTGCAGTGGCTCACCGCCTGTAATCCCAGCACTTTGGGAGGCTGAGGTGGGTGGATCATTTGAGCCCAAGAGTTCAAGACAAGCCTGGCCTACCTGGCAAAACTCTGCCTCTACTAAAAATACAAAAAAGTAGCCAGGCATGGTGGCATGTGCCTGTAATCCCAGCTAGTCAGGAGGCTGAGGCAGGAGAATCACTTAAACCTGGGAGGCAGAGGTTGCAATGAGCCAAGATCACGCCACTGCACTTCAGTCTGGGCGTCAGAGAGAGACTCTGTAAGTGCACACACCCTTACTGAGTGAGAGAGTAAAAGTGAGAGCAAGCGAGAGACAGAGCGAGTGTGTGTGTGTGTGTGTGTGTGTGTGTGTGTGTGTGTGTGTAGCAGACGAAAATGTCTGGTTAGCAAAGTCAGAGAAGAAATAGAAACTCTATCCAGATTTCTCACATCTGTGTGTAGCCAATGAAACCAACACCACTTGTCTCACCAGTACTAAAATAATTTGTGGCCATGGAAGATTTTTGTCACTTTCAAAACCCATGTGAATGAAAAACCTCCGCCTGTTCTCCAAACAGTCTCTAGTCTGCACTCACTGAAACGTGTAAGTTGTGCTTAGTGAATAAAGAAAAGGAAATGGGAAGGGAAGGAACAGATGATTCCTCTTCCTAGTACATCCTTGAGACCAGGTGTGTTAAATCTTGTAATCGTAGGTGTGATTATAATCAGGGGCACTTTAATGAGAAGCAGAGATAACCACAAAGCTTTCAATCTGGAATTTCTCTTTATGGCTCTGTTTTGCCCCCAGGAACAGCTGAAGTGAAAATGCCACACTGTTGATGAAGTTCTATGTTTTTCCCTCTTCTAATCACTGCCTCTCAAGCTATAGAGTGCCAAAAGATAATACCAGGTTTCAGTGAATTCTGTTGCTTGAGGATGCGTCAGCCAAGGGCCTCTGTGGTTGTGACAGCTGGAAAAGGAGGTAGGGATTCAGGAGATAGAATGGGATCAGAGAGGGGAAACTACAATGCCCCTAACTCATGAGGCAGTTTTTACCTCTTTCCCATTTGAACGTAGCCAGAGTTTTGTGCAGTCAACACAATATCCACATTGAAGGGAAATACTGCATTCACTTTCTTTTTTTGAGAGAGTCTCACTCTGGTGCCCAGGCTGGAGTGCAGTAGTGTGATCTTGGCTCGCTGCAACCTCCACCTCCTGGGTTCAAGCAATTCTCATGCTTCAGCCTCCTGAGTAGCTGGGATTACAGATTCGCACCATCACGCTCTGCTAATTTTTGTATTTTTAGTAGGGACGGGGTTTCACAATGTTGGCCAAGTTGTTCTTGAACTCCTGACCTCAACGGAGCCACTGTGCCTGGCCCTGCATTCACTTTGTTATTGAAAAACTTATTTTCACCGGGTGCAGTGACTCACACCTGTAATCCCAGCACTTTGGTGGGCTACCTGAAATCCCTGGAGAGGGCTTAGGAGCAGGCCAGTTCTGATGGGGAGTTCATGCTTAGAGGAGAGGTGATGCACATGATGAGTTCCATTTGCTTGTTTTAACCTAGGGACAAGTATACTTGGCAAGGCATGCGATATAGTAGGGGCACTGGCAGAGAGATCACAGCTTTTCTGGCCTGAGGAACCAGGAGACCAAGTCTGGGGAAACCACAGCTGCAGGAGGAAGAGAGGCAATTTGGAAGGGAAAGATCCAAAGAGAAGATTTCCCAATTCTCTTTGCCTGCTTTTCACGCTAACCCCTGAACCAAGCAAGGTAGTTGCCTGCTTCAAAAAACAAAAACAAAGCAGGGTGTGTTGGCACATGCCCATAGTCTCAGCTACTTAAGAGGCTGAGGCACGAGATTGCTTGAGTTCAGGAGTTCAAGACCGGCCTGGCCAACATAGTGAAACCCCATCTCTACTAAAAATACAAAAATTAGCCAGGCATGGTGGTGGGCGCCTGTAGTCGCAGCTCCTGTGGAGGCTAAGGCTGGAGAATCACTTGAACCTGGGAGGCGGAGGTTGCAGTGAGCCAAGATCGTACCATTGCACTCCAGCCTGGGTGACAAGAGCAAGACTCCGTCTCAAAGAAAAAAAAAAAAAGATGAGTGATTTGGTGTGACCAAAGGCTCTGAGGAGCCTAATCTTACGTTTCCCCTAGGAGCAGTGGTTCAATATCTGCTAATGCAGCACTCACAGCAACTTTATAAAATATAACTACCACAAATAACGAGAATTGAATATATATACAATTGGAAAAAAAAGTTGATCTTAAAAAAATGAGTGATTGGGGAGTTGATTTATCAAGGTAACTACTGCTGTAGCCCTCTACATAGTTTATTGAAAGTTGACTTCTTAGAAGAACTATGAAATATTTGAGAACTTTGCACATGGATTTATAGTGGCTAAGTATGCCAGCATTTTATATTGAAACTCTTTCCCTTGCTTTTTAGTATTAAAAGATAATTCCCAGAGCAGCTTTTCTTCCTTGTAATCCCTAATTTTAGATGACGA